AGTTTAAATAATTGAAAATATTAGAGTTGTATTTTCTGATGTAAAAAGACTAGTATAAACATACTTTCACATCAAAAAATGAAAATTCAAAGACTAGCGCCTACTATATATGTTTTTTTTCAAATTTACAAGTATAAACACAGGTGTTTCCCCTCAAATATAACGAATCAATTTGATTTTGTAATAAATTTTATACAACCCTGTTTCCCAGAGTTGCATAATTTGTAATTTGTCGATTAAAAAATTTAATTTAATTTAAAAGTTTTAATATCGAAACCTTCAAATTAGAAATTAAATCAATTTTATCATTTCCAACCACCAGAATTAAAGAATTAAATTAATTATTAATTCTAAATGTATACCTATGGGCTATATCACGTCAACTGTCCCTCCCTCTTGAATCAGAGTTGGAATATGATTTTTCATATTTTATTATGCTTCCCAAGGATGAATATGAAAAAATTGTTAAAACATGATTTTGTATGTAAAATTTGACGAGGAATTCAAATTTGTCATCCAAAATCATATTCATAACCCCAAAATCCCGTAAGGGGACCAACCTGTGTTAAAAGCTTAAATTCAGCTTCAGCTAAAAATAGCTATATGAATCGAAATAGTGGAAATTTTTTTTTTGTGATAGTAAAATATGTTCATTCTACACCAGATTGACCAAAAACAACTTCTACCCAAGCTTTGAAATACCAATTACATCACTTTTTTCATAAGACGAAATATTGTGTTATAAATCACTTGCCGCATAATCTTGAAAAGAGTTTTTCATCAGTATTGATCTATGGGGTCTCAAAATCTTCAGAAAAGTACTCTCGTCCACCTAAGCGGAGCAGAATTTTGAAAAATTGCGTACAACTTTATATATGTTACCGGCAAAACCCGCTTTTAGGCAAAAACAAAAATGCCTAAAATTTTAGGCAAAAACCGCAATGCCTAAAAAAGTATAGGAAATTCCTAAATTTCTTAGGCAAAGCCCGCAATGCCTAAAAAATTTTAGGCATTAATGTAAACAATAACACGTTAGTATACGATTAGTCAGCATCTAAGCCGGACTTATTTGTTAGTTTTGTTTAAAACCCAAAATGGATACAAACTTATACTCTCACTAGTTACTTAACTCAAAATAAAGTAAAAATGGAGATTGAAATCGATAATTAGAAAAATCAGTTTGTCGCCGAGGCTAACGAAAAAGAACATTATAAATGTTATAAGTACCGACTTATCTCCAAGATCAAACCAGGTAGTAGCATTAAATACTAGTGTACCGCTTGAAGATGTTTTTGATATCATTCAAGCGTGCATATTGCGACCGGACATGGTGGGCGCGATAGGCTTTGGAAAGAAACATCGATCAAGTATTCCAACTTTACAAGCGAATTGATTGAGTTATACTTAAAAATGTGTGAAGTCTGTCACCAGAAAAAAATAAAGAGAAAAAGGGGGTTGGTATCCAAGCCAATTTTCCATTCAGAAATGAATAGTAAATGCCAGGTGGACTTAATTGACTTTCAATCATCAAGTGTCGATGGGTTTAAGTTGATAATGGTATACCATGACCATTTGACGAAATTTGTAGTTCTGAATGCATTAAAAACAAAACTTTTGTATTCAAATAAATGCGTATTTTTTCACTTTACATTAATTTTTTACTTAAAATTATTAGCTCGCAGTAATGCCTAAAATTTTTTAGGCATTGCGGGCAATGCCTAAGATTTAGGAAGTTCATATATTTCTGCGGTTTTTGCCTAAAATTTTAGGCATTTCTGTTTTTGCCTAGGCAAAAGTCACTTTTGCCTAAAAGCGGGTTTTGCCGGTAACACATACATGTACCGCAGTAATACATGCATCCATTTTTATTTTTTAAATTACTGTTTAATGATTTTAAATTGAAATTAAACGATTTATAATATTTAAATTGTTTAGCCCAGATCCTGAACAATAACGTAAAAAAAAATATTAGGCAAATCTTTTTACAACGTTTGATATCGAATGTTGGAAGACAACCTAAAAAAACCGCAGTAACACCCACATTTAACCCTAATTTATTTTTCTTATTACATATTATTTCAAAGACTGATTTCACGCGTCACCTGCGAGTTAGCTGCGTTGGTTCATCCATTGACTTTTTGAAACGTATAAATTTTCACTTTTATGTAGGATTGAAACTTGATATCTGATTTTGAATAATGTATTTCTGTTGAAGATGTTCGATTCGTTCAGCCAATTATTAAATTCGATCAATGATTAATATTAACAACTTAATTGTACGTAAGAACATTATTTTTACCTTATGCCACCAGATGCAAAATCCGCACGTGCCACCACGTGTTGAGGCGATATCCTCGCAAACGTGGAAAAAATTGAGTATAATTCAAAAACTTTCACTTATTCGAAAGTGAAAATTTACACGTTTCAAAAAATCAACGGATGAACCAACGCAGCTAACTCGCAGGTGACGAAATCAATCTTTGAAATTATATGTAATGAGAAAAATAAATTATAAAAATTATAGTAAAAAAGATAAAAAGTTAGATTTTTCTACTTTTGAAAAAGTGAAAGTTTTTGAATCATACTCAATATTTTCCACGTTTGCGAGGATATCGCCTCAACAATACGAAAACTCGTGGCTCGTTGGCCAACGTGCTGGCTCCGTATAAGCAAATACATTTAAATTATTTAACTCACCTTGATTTATTTTTTTATATTTATTTAACTATATTATATAAAAGAAGAAAAGAATGTAGAGGAGAAAATAATCAAAAAGGAGTTGATTCATTTTATTCTTTTTTTTATTGATCATCAACAGCAATATTTTACATTGAATGATTCGCATATCTTATGTTTTTAAATAATTTTTTACAAAAAATAATTCAAAATTTTTGCATGTTTGTTGAATATATTACAAGTATTTACAATTCTGTTCCCAACTTTACAATTATTTTTTCACGTGCAGGTCACTTTTTTTGAGGTTATTTTTTCCGATATTTTATTAAACCATTATTTTTTCTGATGTTTTGAAGGAGCCATCTCAGCAGTCGCCTCCATAGTTTCATTGATTTTTGCGCGGGTTGTTCAGACGTAGCATCCTCTGGATCCTCAGAATTTAATTTAGCTAATAGAGCTATTGTTGGAGTAATTTCTTGTAAAGAAATTGAATCCACACTTCTTTCAGATGTATCATCATCGCTATCGAAATATTCCTTGAGAGTTGCATCGAACTCAGCCAGCACTCGGGCACATTCCTCTTTTTCTTCAAACAAAGAGTTTTCTATTTCCAACCCGGCATGATCAGATGCAGCAACTTCTGGATCCGCCGAAGAGAATTTAGCCAAAGAAGATGGGTTCGCAGCAATTGCATTCAAACACAACTCAAACTGGGCCACTACATCTCCGTATTTGATTTTTGTTTCAATATCTACCATTTTAATGTTGAAATTTCCAAATCACTGATTGTCTGAAGAGAGTCCAAAAGAACAAGTCCCAACTACTGCGTTACGTGTGTACTCGGCTGATGATCAACGACGTTTGAATGTCTGCACACAACCGGCTAGTCACTCAAAGCAGTGTAACACTACACTTTACTCTGGCTCATCAGCTAGGAAAAAGAGGTGAAGCGGGTACATTATGTGTAAAACGAAGCGTTTCCCATCAGAAAACGCAAACAGAGCGAATAAGGAGCTTTGCCTATGCTAGTCTGTATACTACTATTATTATTGACACGTATGTTGTACATGCAGGCGGCCCTCATTAAGCTATGTTTAAGTTTTTCTTTGGGAAAAGAACCGTTTTACACATAGTGTACACTATCGATCGCCCACCACAGGCTTAAATTGCTTTCTCTGGCTCCGTGTCTCTCTGGTCTCCTCTATCTAATGCGAGCGGTTGCCTGCCTAATGCGAGAAAGAGACAGACATACGCTTCGCTGTACTATTGTTATGATTACTGACTAGCCACCTTAAACGTTACAAGAAAATCTCCATAAAAATGAATATTTAATAGTATTTTCCATAATTATATAGTCAATCAATTGCTTGCAAACGTTGCCTTCGCCCAAAAACTGCGAATTCTGAATTCAATAATGAGAATTTGGTTATAATAAAATTCCGTTTTGAAAACTTTAATACATTAATAACTACTATAATACCATATTTAAATAATAATATTCGATAGAGTTTCAATTTATTTGACTAAATGAATAAGCCTACTTATATTTTGTAAGTGTACACTTTTGAATAATTAGTCAAAAATAAAAGTTAGTAATAAAATAAATAATTTATAAAAATTGTAACAATTAAATGTTAATTTCCAGTAGAAAATTTTTATAAAGTTATTGAAATTTGAAGAATAAATAATTTGGGGCTGTTGTGATTTGAAACTCATAAAACACCTCCATTTGGTTGGTACAATAGAGCAAATCAAATTCTGTCAAATATTTTTGGTGAAACAGGAATTGAAACGTGTATTAGCATACAAAATTTCACATTCCACTCGTCAGAATTGCTGCTCGATGGAACGCTGGAATTTCCTATGCTTATACACGTTCCACTTCCATGGTTATACACACGCGCCTCCGCTGCTCACTTTACAATACCCCCCCACCACAAAATTTTAGATCTGATCATCGGCGCCGTGCGGTAAGAGGCAGCTAAGCATCATCAGTCCATTGCAAGCCAGCTGTAATTCGTTTAGTCTGTAGCAGACAAGCGAAGCAGAAGCACGCATCTACGCTCTCTCTCTCTCTTATCTGATTTCCAACTGTTTCATAGTAAAGAGCCTCGCGCGGTGCAGTTCAGTGTGCATCTGTCCGTCTCTATAACGCCACGTGCAAAGTTTTAACTTCACAACAATTCTACGCAAGTGATTTGTGCGACAAGTGAACATAAAGTACATTATCCCTACGTGCAAAGTTTTAACTCCGCAATTCTACGCAAGTGATTTGTGCGACAAGTGAACATACAATACATTGTCATTTTAAATCCAACCACAAAATGAAGAGATTCGTGCGAAAAATCTTCAATTCGAAAGAAAGTAAAGGAGAGCCAGAGGTCAAAACGCCACCAGAATATCTTTACGAAAAGTTCCAAGTGATCAGCGACGAAGACAATGAGTTCAGATCATCAGATCTGTTGGACGCCTGCAGAACCGGCGACGAAGATCTCGCCCGAAAATGTCTCAATCGAGGGGTGCACCCTGATTGCTTTGCTCAAAGAACAGCTAATTCACCGCTCCATTTGGCACTGTATTACCGACACAAGATGATAGTCCAATTACTTCTGAGACACGACGCAAATCCTAATTGGGGTAACGTCGAAGGCTCAACTCCGCTTCACATCATCGCAGAGCTAAAGAACAAGGAAAATGCCCATAAAAAATTGATAGATATGTTCTTCGAGATTTGCGACGAACAGAAACTCAAGTTGGAAATCAATGCCCAGGACAAATTGGGTAGGACTCCGCTTTACACAGCTGTAGCCCATGGATGCATCGAGTTCATAGAGATTCTGCTCGAAAGAGGGGCTGATCCAAATTTAGCTAGAAAGGGAAAGTTTAGCCCTCTGCACAAGCTCGTCAGCAGATTCCCACAAAATAAGATCTTGTTCGATCAGTTTTTAGATATATGCGACAAGAAGCGTGTGGAGGTTCAAGTCGGCGCTCAAAATTTATTGGGCAACTCACCGCTTCACGAAGCTGTATCTCGTGACCAGAGAGGCTTGATCAATTGTCTGCTGAAAATGGGCGCTGATCCAAATCTTGCTAACAACGAAGGCTCGACAGCCCTGCATATTATTTGCAGAAGATGCAAAGCCAATTTTAAATACGAAGGTTTGTTGGCCTATTTCTTCGAGATCTGCGAAACATTGAGCATAAAGTTGCGGGTCGACGCCCAAGACAACCTGAAACGAACACCTCTTCATTGGGCTATGATTAATCTTTTGCCATTCGATGTTGATATACTCTTGGCTCGTGGCGCTGACTTGAAAAACTTTGTTTTTCCACGTGGGAGCGATTTTCACGAGGGATTGGAATCGCTTCAGAATACAGTTGTTCCGCCTAAACTTAAAGTGATTTTGGCGTCTAGTATGATGACCATCGTCCAGCTTCTAGAGCGCTGCGGGAGAAGAACATTTAAACTGAGCCAAGGAAACGTAAAGACGATAATAGTGTTCTTCGCCACTTACGGATTGTTCGAGAGCTCAACGCAGTGCCTCGAACGATTGTGCGGGGACAAAAAATTCGTTCGCTCGGCCGAAACGCTTATGATAAAGGAGAATCTTTCGCTCTACGATCTGATCTGTATGAAACCGAGCAAGGCGGCGCAGGAAGTCACGTGCCTAGATTACTGGTACTTCTCAGGCACGAACAAATTGTTGGAGCTCCCAACCTCAGAAGCTCAAGAGATTTGTGCCCTCCACCTGTGCGAGAAAATGTCAAGAGAATTTTGTCGGCAATTCGCTTGGTCACGTACTTGGCCGCTGATGCGAAATGGCCTGGAGACCATTGTCGGTTCTATGTTTACTGGAGACTTGATTAACCTAGAGCTGTATACCGTTATCTTGGCGCCGTTAAAAATTAACTAATAGTTGCACATTAAAAATTGTACATTTTCTGTTTTGCTCAAATAAAAAAATTTGAATAAAAATATCATCCATTGCTTTGTTAGTACAGTCAGCCTCTTTCCTTCATAAACTCTCCTCATTCGTACAACGTTGCTGCCTTCCTACTTTATAAATTTGTGCTTCTTTTTGCATGTCTGTTGAAAATAAAGTACACTTAAATTAGCTTATACTGTAAATGTTAGTTTAATCGTCAATTCAGTGCAATCTAAAAGCGAGTACACCAAAATAATCATACTAAAATGATTGCTGTTCAAAAAAGTTTTTTTTCACATTTATTTTTGACTTCAAAAAGGGTCAAGACAATTTATGCATCAAACAAGCGCACGTGAGAGAGAGATAGACAGAGAAAGACATATCGACGAATTTTATAGACCATACGGTAACACGTACTTACGATCATCGCCACGCGATAATTAATTTAGATTTTCGGGAAAACCCATTTTTGTGATTTTCGGACGCTCGTAAATTTTAAAATATTCAGTATTTATATATGAGAAAGTTCAAAACTTCAGCTATATGAATCACATTGATAATGTGAAAAACCACTTTTCATGTAAAGAATGTTTTTGTACGTAGAGTACGAATAAAATGTTTTTATCAGGTCTACGATTCAATAAATTTTATGCCCCTTATTTTATACTTACTGCTATGCAATATCATTAAGTTAAACATCGAGTGCGCTTATGCGTCGCCGGACGCGGCCAATAACGTAGGAGTGGGGGTACCTCGCGCGAGCTGGCTTCTTGTGTTACGAAAATGAAATCTCACGGTTCAAAATCGCTCCGCTGTAACAATTTTCAATTTCTCCACTTCTAATGAACTTAGAGACTTACTTTTTTTATTTGAAAGGTCTTGAAAAATTATTAACATTAGCAGTGTCTATAAACTATTTAATAGCGTGGAACTTCCGGAAAATTTGACTCTTTAAACATTTTTTTTTTCGCACGGCTCTTCATTTGTTCATTTTTATGCAATAAAATAGCAATAAAATGTTATGGTTGAATTTGTTTACAAAAGTACAAGTCTTTACCTTTCATTTGAGCCGTCGCTCGTGTCCGTATCATGCCTGTAGTTGCAGGCACAGCTTAACGGAAAAATATTTTTAATAAACAAATGGAATAACTCGATCAATAATGCACTTAGCGCAAAAATGAAAAATGCGTTTTGTTTGTCGTGACAAAGGCTTCTTATTCCTAAAGTTTCATTAGTTTATTGCAAAGTTATAAACAATTGAAAAAACGGTCATATTTGACGGTTTTTTCGACCTTGCGGATAAACAAATGACCCAATTTCAACTTATAATACGCCAAATTGTAGGTCTTAAAAGACCTACATTTTTCACTAGAAACCTTTTTTTTGTAAAGTTTGTGGTTAAAAAACTACAACCGAAAAACGAATTTTGGGCAACTTCAAAGGGTCCAATTGTTTAAATTCCCATTAGTTGCATAGTTGCATTTTACACTACTTCATTTCTAACATCTAACACTAACTTTTCCCGGTGTCAAACTGCGGTTGCGAATTTTTTCATTTTTAACATAGGGTCAGATTTAATTTGACTGGACTATTTGGCTGACCTATAAGTTTGGACTGTCTTGCACTTATACAATCTATTCAATAACTGTCGATTGGTGGAAATTTGGTTCAAGATAAGCGAGGAAAAACATCGTAAAGTAGAGGTTAATGCCCAAAAGAAGATAATATAGAATTTTTCTATATTATTTAAATGTAATAAAAATTAAATAAAAATTTAAATCATTATTTTTCTTGCGTTTTAATTTCGAATTGATTTTTCTACATTAATATTAATATACGTTTCAAGAAAATTATTGTTGCAGGTAAAACTTCTGGAGTAAATTATTCATTAATCAAGGTTATTCTTATAATTCTCAAAATCAATAGCTGGTAATTCACATATTAAATCTATTTGTGATTGACGGATTTTTCGAATCAGCTTTTTACAATTCTGTTCTATACGAAAAAAAGCAGCTGTATGTGTATAGTCAAAAACTTCTTTGAATATGTATAATTAATCCTAAAGTAAATTTGGGGGAAAAAAGTAAAACTTGTTTTAAAATAACTTTTAGGTAAAAATACAATTTTTCATAAGAAAAATATGTTGAAAAAAATTTGTTCTGCATTTTAACATTGTCTCTACATATTCTGGCTCCCATTATTTTACGCAGTAAATATTAAAATCTCTCCCATTTCACTGCGACCCCCTCTGAAATCCTGAACCTCTTTGACGCCAAATAAAGAGAAGTGGTCTCTCTATTTTTCGAATATTTTCTTAATTAATCCTACTTTGGTTTAAAACCTAAATTTTTTGATAGTCTACATTGACTGACACTAAAACCCTATCTTCCATTGTAAGACCCTATGTCCTTCTGTTAATTGCATTGGGCTAACGTTTTTAGCCATCCGCTGAAGCCGAAGAATTCTTTTTTCACAATAACTGCCCAAGTATTCTCAAAAACGAATTCAATCTTGAGAAAAAGCTCACACAACAAAACTGTCAAAAAAATCAAAAACAAACCATATTTCATTTTCAGGATCTAACTTTGAAAATAATCATAGGAGGTCATGTTTCGAAATCGTTGCTCAATTATGAAGAAAAAACACCTACACATTTGCCAAAAATTGAAAAAATGCGATAATAAAAAAGCGATTTTAGGGCTACTGGGTATGAAATATTATATTATACAGGCGCACATATTATATAGGCTCGAGTTCATGCTTATCGGCATCGGCTTCGCTTTAGCCATATTAAAAAATATGAAATTTTGTCGGAATCGAGGGCCCGGTGACATTGGTGCAAGTTTAAATTCTGAGTTCTAGTTATCCTGCACTTGAATAATTACCAAGTGCTTCATTGCACAATTCGATCCCTTTTCAATAATCTCGAGCTCTGAGAGTAGCTATTACGGTGTTAACATCGAAGCATCTAACGATCTCGTATAAAAAAGGTAAGATCATCGATGCAATTTTTCCAAAAACAAGATCTTTCAACTTTTCGCCGAAAAAAAATCGAAATTTTTCCAACGTCAAAGCTTCAAACTCTATAATTTTTCCTAGCGAATGATACGATGTTAATTCTCGTTCGAATCGAATGAGAAAACTCTGCAAAATCAAAAAAAGAAGATAAAAGGTAAACATTCCTTCGAGTGTCCGAAAACTGGCTACTTTGCCATGTATACCTATTACTATCGTACTACTACTACTACTATAACTACGTAGAAAAGAGAGTGAGAGAGCCGAGCGGCTAATCCTTTATCCCGCGCTATATACATGCGATCACTGCACACGATGTCGTACATACACTCCTCTATATGGCTCGGTGCTGTTATATATAGTCGCCTCTGTACAATATGCGCGCACATTGCCGAGCTGCACGTACACAGTACTACATAGCGCATACATACACGGTAACGGGGGGCACGCTCGAAACTCGCGAAGCCCAAGGCCCAGTTCGTCGATCCTACATCAGTGCACCGCTGCTGCTGCTCTCGCCGATGACGCTGAATACACGTTGATCGTGCATGTGTGCGAGTTTGTGCATGGTATGCTGCTGCCATCGCCGCCGCCGCGAGTTTGTTGCAAGAGAAGAGGCCGGGCGGCGCCGCGTAGGATACAGCACTGCGAGCGCACAGAAACACACACACACACATAGTTTAGCCGCCTCCTATCCGTGTTAGCTTCCATCTCGCTTCGACTCGCTGCTTTGTACGCGCGGTATATATGGGGAAACTCGCCCAGGGGCCCCTGGAGAGGTCGACGCTTGCGCTCGTCCATGTATGTGTGTGTGTGCGAGTATACAGCGACGCGGGGGGATTTTGCTTTCTCCGGTTTTCTGCGCTGCGCGAACGCCGCTCTCTGTACGATATACGTATACGACGATCCGCCGCTTGCCGCCGTAGCCGCCGCCGCCACCACCGCTCCGTTCGTTCGGTTCGCTCGCTCGGCGCTCGCCGCTGTTGCCGCCGAACTTCTCAGTCGAGTCCCGTGAGCGAGGCCGGGAGTAGCTTTCGCGCGCGGTGTTGGAAAGAGTTGTGAAAGGAGAGAGAGAGAGAGAGAGAGAGAGAGAGAGAGAGAGAAAGAAAGAGGAGAAGAAAAAAAGGAGTGAAAGAGTGCGAGAAAGAGAGAGAAAAGAGGCAAATGCCAAGCATGCTTGGCTCGCATACCTTATTACAAGGCGGCGTATGCAATTTTGTCCTTCTGTGAATATATCATCATCGCACATCCGAGTTACAGCCGAGAGTGCGCGAGTATATTGTAATAATATCGCAAAGTTGTGTGTGACGACGACGACGACCGAGTGACAAAAAGGAGTCGCCGCCGTCTGTTTTACATAGTGTGTTGTTTTGTTTATCATCAGTGCTAGTTCTTATTGTTGTTGTGTATTTTGCCAAGACAAACGACACATCCGTAATAATCATAATAATAATATCATCGTCTCGTGTCGTGAAAGTAGTCGTTGGTGTGCGTGCGTGAGTAGCGCGCGCGCGTGTGTATAATAATATCAGTGTGCAGTGTGCAGTTCGCGGTTGCATTCAACAAATTGGATGTGCACGTCGCCGTCGCGGTATAAGGCCCCCCGAGTCACTACATTCTCGACAGTCCAGAGAGTCGCGAGAGGATGCGCGCGGCTCCAGTAGCCGCGGGGGGTAGTGGAAGTACAAGCAGCGGTATCAACAGCAACGGCAACCCAGTAGCAGTAGTCGAGCTCGAGGAGATGATGTTGACGTCGCCGAGGCGGCTTCACTGCCATGCTACCGCTAAAATCCCGAGCCGCCGCTAAGCTCGTAGCAGTGAACGACGACAAGCTTTATTGCAGCAGGAGGCCCGTAAAGGAGCATCAGCGTGTTTTGAACGACGACGACTAGGCTCGCACGCGTTTGTCAACAAAAAGAAAAACATCAACAACAACAGCGACATCGGAGTGAGCAGAGAGCATCGACACACCTAGTTGAGCCTGTAAGAAGCAAAGTAGTGTGCATTTCTCTATATACTCTACGTCGACTCGTTCCTCGAGGAAGAGAAAGAGAGAGAGAGACTCGTCGCGCCCTGAGTCGAGAGAGAGAGAGTATATATGTGTGTTGCCTGTGCCCCATAAGTGTGTGTGTGTGTGTGTGTGTGTGTGTGTGTGTGTGTGTGTGTGTGTGTGTGTGTGTGCGAGAGCGTATATATAGGTATATACAATATCGTGCTGATACGTATATAGTGTTTGTGTGACCGTGTTCTGTAAGTGTGTGTGTGTGTGTGTGTGTGTGTGCGACTGTTGTACAGCGCCCGCTGCTGCAGATGTGTTGAGCGAGAGAGAATCGTGGTGCTGCGCGCGCCGAAGCGACCCGGTACATAGCAAGCGCACTGTGCGCTCCGCGTAGCCGTCTCTGTCTGCACTACGGCGTTGGGTGTCTGTGTACGTGTGTGTATATGTGCGAGCGAGCGCTGCACTATACCATATTATATGCCGTCTCTGTCCAACCTGCTGCAGCTCTCGTATATAGCAGATACCTTTCCTCGTATACTTACTTCACAACAACCACAACAACAACAACAACTACTACAACTAGAAGAGTTGCGTGTATATGTGACTGACCGTAATCGGTATTCGAGTCATCCTTGCGCTTTGTATAAAATAATAATACATGGGAGACACTCGCGAGACTTTTTCGCAAAGGCAGCAGATAATCATCGAGCCCGGGCCTTATCTCTCTTGATGATGATATGTGTCCAAGGATGGCTCACCGATAACGATGAAAACTACGTCTACTATACACACATATCTCGTGCATCTATCCTTGCGCGCTCTTTACAACATTAAATACGCATTATATACACGCTGCTGAGTGCTGGGCGTGTGCGTGCGAGACGTGGGCTTTCGAGAGTTTCGATATGACGACGATGATGACCGGGCCACAAGTATTATATACCCGCTGCTACACGCGCGATGATGACTGTTCGTCTTCTGTCAGTGTGTGTGCGTCTGCGTATAATACTTGCCGCCGACAGTTTGATGTTTTTTTTCAGCTTTCACTCGAGTTTCGAAACATTATAAGCTAGTAGTAGTAGTATTAGTATCAGAACGAATACATTCAGATATTCGTGAGAAAATAAAAAATAATACGAGAGCTGACGGTTGAGAATGAATTTTCGGAGCCTCTTAGCTTTATATGAATGTACGACGAGAGGAAAGCGAGGTTAGGTTCGATGCACGCATATACATGTATACTCGCACACACATACGGAGTAGACAGAGAGAATGCAATGCATACACATTACACACTTTTTCACGAATACACACACACACACACACACACACACACTCGAAAGAGGGTTTGAGAGGAAAAAGATGAGGAGGAGGAGTAGGAGGGGAGGGACAAATCGCGTGTTTATGTGTGAGTGCAGTTCTCGCGCGCGTGTATATATTATGTATAATACACAAGTGTGCAGTCTCGGTGCATATATGGCGTATCGCACACATATAGCGCACAGTATAATATGTACACCGCACTGCACACGAACGAGAGAGAGAACTCGTTCGCGAAAATAAGTAGGTGCGGTCTCTCTCTCTCTCTCTTATATTCGCGCGACGAAGATGACGATATTATAGTGGATGCACAGTATGTGCCGTAGCAGCAGCGTAGCACATGCCTCGCAAGCAGAGAATTTCGCCTTTTTCGCACGCGACGACGCTGCTGCTGTTAATACCGCTGATGACAGCTCTCTTCGTGCCGCATTTTTTCGATATTACTTATTACACCGGCAAACTCGTGGGGCTTAAACTCGATAATATATTGTTTTCACGCGTCGTTGGCTTAGGTTTTGGTAATCTTTATAATATTCTGGACTATATCGATATCCGAGCATGTATGCACGTATTATCGATGAATGATTCGTCGATTCGATATAATATGTGGGCCTTATGTCGCTGGAATTATAAATTACATATATATATTATAGGCTGTATACTATCGAGCTAGTTTAGAGAAGGCACATCCTGTGTGTTCTCTCTCTCTCTCTCTCTCTCTCTCGAGTGAATGACGAATCGTAAATCATAAAAAGTGTAATTATAAGCTCTCGCGCGCGCTATCCGAGCCGTGTGCGTACGTATCGCTATATACATACGCGCCGCATCTGACATTTTTAACGTATAGTATAATATCCGCAGCAGATTCAGCAGCAGTTGAGCTCTTATAATATTCGATTCGTTGCGCGTCTGTACGTGTGTGTGTGTATTTCATCGAAACGGGTAAAGGCGGAAAAAATAAAAAGGAAGGAATTACACGGCGTCAAAGCGATCGTTCGAGCGTTAAAAAAGCAGCAGTCGATGTACTCTCTTATACTCTCGACTTGCCTATTATACCGGTATATATGATATCTGCGCCGCGGCGAACTGCTGCTGTACGCGGAGTCGTCGTTCGCAAAAATTCATTAAAATCAGCTTGCCTCGAGAGCTTCAACAAGCGAGTGAGAGAGAGAGAGAGATGTACCTATAAACTTTTGCAGGTAACTCGGTGGCTGCGGCGCGCATCTGCCTCGTTTTCCTTTGCCGCGCATCGATTTCTTCTTCCCTTCTCTATCTCTCTCTTTTTCTCAGCATCCGCGGCACACGAGTGCACAATATAATGCCGCTCGCGCGCGCGAACATTCGTCGGATCGATTTTTATATAATAAAATGTAAAGCTCGGGTATATATAACAATTTTTCGATTGTAATAATACCCGCATATCCGTGCACACCAGGGGAAGATAGAGAGGGAGAGAGAGAGAGAGAGAGAGTGAGCCAACGAGTGAGAGAGAAAAGTTTTTTAAGTGGTCAATTAAATGAGATCGACTGCCGGTACTACTACTCGAGTCTCTTGTATATTATCCTCGCGAACGAGTTTTTTTTCGGGTGAAGGCTTAATTAGCGGTAATTTTTTTCGTTTAAAACGCGAATAAAAGCTCCTCTTTATTTTGCTTTTTACCCAAAGGAAGCTTTCGAGTATCGTTTCGCGAAATTGCCGAAAAAGGACTTGATTAGATTTCGATTCGGGTCAAAAGCTCGGGGGTGGGGAGAAATGTAACATAATTGCACGCATGCCGCTTCTCGCATGTGTGCAGCGAGTGTATAATAACGATAAGAGGATATGTCGGGCGCAGGTAAGAGAGAGAGAGAGAGAGTCATTCTCGAATTTGGGCGTTGTTGTGTGTTTTAACGATATGCGCGCGTGTGCTGTTGCCGGTGTATCATAAGCCGAGGCAACGCACAAACGAGTCGCTTATATTATACCTCCCTCCAGAGTTCTCTCTCTTGGCCTCTCTCTCGCGCGCGCGCGGTTGAAAATCAATTTAATTAAAGTGAATTTCGGCGACTCTGGCTAATTATACGCGCTCGCGCATTACCAGCAGCAGCCTCCACTCTATATTGGCTTGCTCAAAACATTATTACGTTATTCGTCGTCGCTCGCTCGCGTGTCCGAGTATTTTTTAATCATTTCAACTCGCGTCGCGCCTGTATTTACCAGCGCGAATTTTCTCCTGTATGCGCTGTGCTGTGTGCAGCACACGCTTGTGGCTCTCTTTTTTACTTGCCAATCAACGTCTCTTCTTGCTTGCGCTGCTGCTGCTTCTCTTTCGCCGTTTCGTTTCACGGTGATGCCGTGACGGGCGTTAAATAGGCGCACACATACAAACGCGCGCAAATATTCGCTTATATGTGCACGAACGAGAGAGAAAGAGAGAAAGAAATGGCGAGAAAGACGAGAGAAGAAAAGAGAGAAAATATTCGGTTTTCACTGCTGCTGCTGCTGTTCCTCTCCGATCGCGCCGAGCCAATATTCCTGTTGCCTAGGGTACACATGATGTTCGTTTGAAGTAATCGAGATTCAAGACCTATGCGCGTCGTAGTCTCTCTCGCTCGACACGATATATATGCGCTATATACATGCACTTTCCACGTCGAACGTTACACACAATCGCAAATGTATTCGCTCGCGTATATGCCATGTTAGCCCCCATATATATATCTGTATATGTGTAGCTTCTATCACACTGATTTGCATGTTCTGATTGTTGAAGGAGGAGCTCACGGAGTGCGGAGCCCTATTGCAACCACTACCACTACTATTGCTGCTGCTGCGAAAGAGAGATAGAAGATAGACAGCGACAATAGGATATACGCTGCTGTGCCGAGCGACGACGAGTTCGAGTGAAGAATATATAAAAAATAAAAAAAAGAGTGATTATTGAAAATCCTGTGCAGTTTTTTGTGCGTGTTGTATTATATATAATAATAATTGTGCGAGAGTTTGACAGTTATTTTTTCTGCTGCTGTTATCGAGACGCGAAAGCCGCTCTCGAACAGAAAAGCGAGATAAGAGAAGGAAGACGTTCGCGCGGGGCGAAAAAACGAGGAGGAAGACACTACTGCTACCACTACTACCGCTACCGCCGTGTATTTCGCGCGCTCGCGAGCACTGAGAAACAGACAGAGAGGAAATAAGAAGAAGAGTGCCGATCCCGACCGCTGCAGGACAACGACGCAGCTTGCATTTTTAGGTGAGTCTCTCTTGCTCTCTCGCTATCTATTTTTCTTTCTTTCTTTCTTCTTCGCGCCGACTCGGCGTGCGAGGCGCATTTAAAAGGACAAATATGCGCGCATCGCGCACGTGCTCGCCAGATGTGTCAAAAAATACATACACACACACACACACACAAACACATGCAGTAGTATGTGTGTGTATATATATAGACACTCCCGCGCGCGGGGCGCGTGCGTGTTTATTATTATACTATATATATACCATCGCACCATCGACGAGATGAGAAACGCACACGCCCGTATATAATGCGTACGTGCGTTCGTCTGTGTTTATGCTGTGCGCTATATTGACGCAAAGATTCTTGTAAATTGCCCTGGCGCTGCCGCTGCGTGCTGCAGCCTTGATTTTTTCCCGAACGATTATTATTGCTTGGAAAAAGACTCCAGCAGCCGCAGCGGACGAGAGAGCTGCTCACGCAGATATAATATGGGAAATTAAGCCGATCCACGCGCGCGGCTGATTGTAATCACGGCTTCGCCTCTCTCGCTTCATTATTTGGATCTTTGCACGAGAAAAGCGTTTCGTCACTCGTATACCTATACCTGTACGTGTATTATAAACTTATATACACACGTATGAATGTATCTCGCGTGTGTTGACTTTTCAGCGCGCGCCCAATGCCGATCTCTGCCCGTCTCTGTCTGTGTTGAGCGATCGAGTCAGCGATACGCGTCAATTTGATTATATACCCTCTGGTATATACCGTGGTGGTAATTTTTTTTTTGCTGTTAAACTTGAGCATCGTCTCTCTCTTTCCGAGGCTATTGACGAGAATAATATTCTCGCTCTCGCTAAGTAGCGTGTAAGGATATACATATACAATAATCACCACAAGAGAGCGAGTTTATATAGTTGCTCAATGCGCCGAGCCTGAATATGTGTTTGTGTGTGTGTTAGTGCAACGGCATTTCACAAGTGGGAGCGAGCGATTTGTCTATTCAAAACCGTCGCTCTCTGTGCCTCGCGCGCGCGCATGTATGTTATACGTATATCTTTTCATCGATATTTCTTTGCTTTTAAAGCGGTAGTAATAGTAGTAGTACGGCGAGGGGGACTCTCTCGTGTTTAGTATATCCAATCGTATAGTAGCTTATATATATACGTTGTATATATTAATACGTGGTTTTGCTGCCTCGCGTATATTAATACAGAGAATTACACGGCTGCGCGAGCACGTGTCTATAATACACTCCACGATGCGAGATCTTGTGTGTGCCCGCGCGAACGAGACTCATATGCTCATTCTGTACGCACAGCACCCAAAATAGACATTATAAACTACTATATACCACCACTGTTGTGCCGGGTGCGTGGCGGGAAATTGTGGACGCATACAGAAGTTTGATGTACGAAAAACGAAAACATCGACCGACACGTGCGGTATAATAGCTGGGCCCCGCGTTTATACATAAACGATACACATGTTGTTATATTAGCGGGTCGCGTTTCGTTTTTTCCTTTTTTCCCCCCTTTTCTATTTTGCCTATTAGGGCTATATTATGAAGACGTACGCAGAAAACTCATCGATCTCTCTCGATGACTTATACGATGAGCTTTTGACGACAAAACAAAATAATAAAATAAGCCCTCGAACGACGTGTTTGTGTCATCGAATACATACATTAGGGCTCAATCATATATGCAAGCGTGTCTGCGCGACTCTCTCTCTGTGTATATACGCGGAGATAGAGACGAGGATGATTGCCGAGTATATATACTGTACCGCTGCGACCACGTCGTCGACCCGTATTTGCTTAGAATCAGCATCGACGAGCAGTCCCACAGCAGCGTGTGCTGCATGTCTTCTTGCCGATATATACACACTCGTTGCTTGCGCTTGAATATATGCTATATATAGCTCGACTCTCGTCGAGAGAGAGAGAGAGAGAGAGAGAGAGAGAGAGAGAGAGAGAGAGAGAGAGAGCCCCCAGGAGCAGGCAGAGGTTTGTTAACGCGTGCAGCAGCAGCTATCGATTTGATTGGATCTGAAGCTGTGCCCGTTGCTGCTGCTGCTACTGCTGCTGCTGCCGGTGATGCTGCAGCACACAGACTTTGTGAAGGAGTGAAGTTGGAAAGAAAAAGTTTTTCGTATATAATATCGTCTCTCTTTCCCTGGAGAAAGAGAGAAAGAGAAGTATATATCGGTGTGCATGGGGTACTTCGGAGCAAAAGAATTTTGTGATTTTAAACTTTTTTCGCTTTCTTTCTCTTTCTCTTGTGTGTGCGTGTGCTCTTGTAGAAGGAGGCGAGGACTACGACGAAGACAAGAGAGAGAGAGAGAGAGAGAGAGAGAGAGAGAGAGAGGAAAGAAGGAGGTAAAGCGTCCCTTCAAGATTCTTCTCTCCTTTTCTTTTTACTTTCTCGTCTCAGCTCCTATACGTACGCGCGGGGGGGTATGGATATTTACTTTTTTATTGCTTCGAAGGCAGCAGCAGCAGCAGATTCTTCCTCTCTCTCTCTCTCTCTCTCCGCGAGCGAGAGAGAGTTTGAATTTGTACACTTTTGAAATAGCCATCCTCCTCCTCATCCTCCTACTGCTCTCGAACGCCATCGGCCCTATGTAGGATAGTATTATAGTTTCTCGATTTTCTCGCTCACTCTCTCGAAAATGTGTCTGTCTGTATCGTGCTCGGCACTTTTCACGTCCTCGCCTGCTTATATTCGCGCGAGTCGATGAACGAAAGGAGTTGCGTTGCGTTATACACGCATCAGCAGATAATAAGGTATTTTAACGAAAAGGCGCTTTGTATTTGTTTTTTGTCATGTAAATATACGTGCAGAACTCAAGGAGGCTAAGGAAAACTTCGAAACGTACGTTACTATACATAGGCACGTAAATACGAAAATTTTTAACGAAGGCAAAACGCGCGCTCGCCTGCACTCGCGAGTCGCGCAGAGCCTGTATGCAGAGTCCTTTCTCGTCGTCGTCGTCGTCGTCTCGTTCCTCGTCGTGCATTTAATAGACACGAGTAGAGACGGAGAATCGTGAGCGAGTGCATTTATACCCTTTTCAACTGTTGCGCGCGCTCGACTCGACTCGCGAGCGCAGCAGGTATACACCATATAATATACCTAAATGATGATGCAACTCTCATTCTCTGTCTGTCTCTGTCTGCTGTGTGCATGTGCATTATAGGAGTTCTCCGCTGCTGCTGCTGCTCTCTGCACTTCTTAGGCTCTCTTATAATACACCGGGCCTGTGTATTATACATTTGTATGTATACGCGGGGGTAAAAGTGCAGCGCACGCGAGCTGCTATGCCATGGCGAGGCACGCGGGAGGGCAATTGTTCCTATATATAGCCTAATCAGCCTTTCGTTTTGTATTTCTAATCGATTTCGGATCAAATTTCGTGACTTCCTCGTCATGCGGCAGTGTCTCTCTCAGGCATTTTAATACATAATATATTATAAATAGCATCCGCAGGAGCTGAATGCATGCACTCGATATCTGAATTATTTTTTTTCTTTTCCTTTCTAAAATTAAGTACAATATAACATCATCGTAGTTACTTATATTATATTGATGCACTTGCTCGATCCATTTGTATTCTTCTTCGATCGCGAGTGTAAAGCCATAATAGCAGCGGCAGCAGCACGCGCTCGCCCATTATGTACATAACCGGCAAGACATGTCACAGGGTTCAAGTTTTTTTTACCCTCTATATGCGCCGGGACCTTTGCGTACACCATAATACACATCCAGGCGCACGACGAAAGAGAGAGAAAGAAAGAAAGAGATGAATCGAAGAATCGTCGCTTTTGTATACTTTCACTCTCTCGCCGAGTGTTGCGGTTATTATTGTTAGATCAACCTGTTCCAACTCTCGCGTGCAGCGGTGATTATAATGGACGACGACGTCTCTCTCTCTCTCTTTTCTCTCTTATTACGTATTAAAATGCGCCTCGAGTGGTGTGCACAGCCGCACGCCATAATACCTCGGCAGCGGCAACAGCGGCGTACGCGCGGGTAATCATTGTCAAATTGTGCGCGCGCGCTTCGGAGCTGTGTGAAATGATGGATGTCATTGGCCTGTGCCGCACGTCGCAGCAGCAGCAGCAACGTCCTAGGGAAATATGACCGATCGGTGCTGCTGCGACGACTCGTCTTCCTCGGTTAAAAATCGTTTTTAAATATGCTCGCGCATTATTATGCTCTCTGCTTGCTGGTCTGGCCTGGCTATATGGCCCCACATCCACGATGCGCTGCTGCTCCTCTCTCGTAAAAACGACGAGACGGCCGAAGGTCCGGCTTGCGTTTACACTCCCACGCCATCAGACACACAATATAACACGTATATAGCAGCACGAGCCGAGTGCAGAGCATGTCTCATCGATCCTCTTCTTTAAACTCGTTCGCTCGTTCGTTCGTTCGTTCGTTTGCTCGTTCCTTACTCTTACACACTCAGCGGCGCGCGCGCCCGCACATTTATACACACTCGCAGTCAGCCACAACACACATACACACATGCTGTTCTTCTCTCTTTCTCGCTCGCTCTCGGTTGGTATGCGTAGCTTTAGAGAAAAAGCCGCGCCAAGGAACGTTGCTGCTGCTGCTGCCTGAAAGACGAGAAGAAGCAGCAGCAGCTCGAGGTTTCTTCTTCTTCTTCTCTTCTTTATTTTTTTTCTTACCATTTTAATTGGTTAAGACGCGCCTCTGCTGCAGGTTAAAAATTGCGTACATATAGAAGTTTTACCATATTATACGCACACTGCAAAGAGAGAGAGAGAGAGGAGAGAGCAAAAGTATAATCTGCTTCTGTGTGTGCGTGCGTAACGGTATCCCCAAAAAAAAAGAAAGAAAGAATAAAGCAAAGCAATTGCACTTATCGCGACAATCGTTTTCATACGCTGCGCAAACGATTGGTTAAGCGATCTACTCGAAACAAATTTTTTTTCGGAAATTTATAATAGCTCGAGACAGGAGCAGCTTGGTGGGGGGTGCTCTCAACAGCAG